AGTCAATATCAAGATATTTGCAGAATATATTTTTTTATTCTGAGAATGATTTTTTATTACGAAAAATCACAGTTACATTACATATGTATTTAATATTCAAACACTATTTGATTTTGCATTTATCTTTGGCGGCCGGATATGTGTAGAGTTCAAAAATGATAAAACGTGATTCATTTAATATTACCAAGATTTTGGAATTAACTAAAAATACTAATTAAGTTAAAATTGGCGAATGATTTCGTTTGACATATACATATAAATGTATGAGCATATTCGTGATTCATCCAAGACAGGCTTAATGACTCTGTGGGTACAAAGAACAAAATTCTTCTATTTCTAAAATTTTGAAAATTTAAAGACCGTTTTAAAAATATTATTTGGGAATCAAAGAATTAGTTTTGGCAAAAATCGTTTGGGACATTTCTTCGTAATTGATAAACATTTTTTTGGCAATTTTAATAAAACCTTGTATGGCAATAGAGTTTTTGGTCTTTAATGGACACACTAAAATATTTACAGGTATACAAGAGTTTGATTATAACAATCGATTAAAACTTTAATTAATCGGCCGCGTTTTTAGAAAATACTCCCTGTATGTATTAGGCACATGATTGCTTTTCAATAATGGGTGATAATCTGCTATAGTACCCACATTATGAACACCACAGTAACTCTGTATTCTTATGAATTACTCAATATATGAATATATTGATTAAGACGATTATTATCACTTATCGAGAAGTTCAGGCAACTTGCCTTAAGGCAAAATGCCACATACCCCTTGTTCAATTAAAATTTTATACTAGTTTGGTAAAATCTAGTTTTTCATTTGAACTATTTTTTCAAATGTTTAGATTTGTACTTTACCATAAAATATATAAATATTAGCCCCGTTAAAAAATTTAACTACTATTATTTATAATCGTTATTACAGATGTGTATAGATACCTTGAGCAACTGCAAGGCTCAAAATTAGACGGCGCCTTGGAAGCGGAAAGACAGAGATTATTTAACCATATTAAAAAATTGCTAAATATAGAGTCACCACAAACGACTCTTGATGAATATCTGCCTATGAATGGTAGCTCGCAAGAAATTAATGACACAGATCGTATGTATATTTTTCAAAATCATTATGTTTCATTTTCAAACACTATAATGATAAAGGAATTATTTGTTCATTATAATTTTATTATATTACAGTTATTGAAGAATCCTTCTATGAGGCTCCCGAAGGATCATCAGATGACGATAGTCACAAAACAAATGATTTTGAAATTACCACTCCTGAGCCCATAAAGAATGTATTTAATAAATCATTACCGGAGAAGGATTTGGAAGATTCTCCTTTCAAAAGTAAGCATAGTTTAATAAGTCATTTATTGAGTTGTTCATAATAAATATATGACTATATTTTTTTAGATTGGTCATATCAAAAAGCTCAACAGAAAAATATTAAAGCTGGACCATTAGAATGCAAGAAAAATAGAAAAAATCGAACTATTCGGAACGTTTTGAAATCATTATGTACAATGTCAGCAGTAATCATTGACAATTGGCTGCTCTTGTACAACAACGAATACGATGAAGAACCAACTTTCAACATAAACTTGGTTGGATACAAGGCGCAAGAATGTCTGAATCCTACTACTAAAGATGCAAAAAAGAAAGATTGCTGTTTCGAAATTACACACGATGGTAAAGAGAGCCATCAGTTTTATGCGATCAGCAATAAGGAGATGGAGAAATGGATAATGCACATTAATAGCGTCCACGACAAACAAAATGCTTATACGAGAAAATTGCCAACACCGCCTTCTATCCCTAAAATGGAGCATAAATTATTTACATTTGATAAAGATGATGTTACTCATGAAGTAGAAGAAGAAGAAGAAGCAAAATATGAATCAGAAGATATCTACGAATGCGTTAACACTATTACCAATTTCAATACACCACCATTAAATTGTGACTTCCAAGGAAAATCACTATCCGATCATGATATCAGTATTGATTCGAAATTTCCACACACCTCATCACCGAATCGTAGAGGATCGGACGAAGATACAAAATCTATTGTTTCTTTGCCGATTGGTAAACCAGAAATTTCTCCCAAAAATATTTCACTTTCGCCTAAGATTTCCCCTAAGGCAAGCGTATCATCAATAGATTCGTCATTGCCAGCTCTTCCGCCACGAATTCCAAATACTCCAAAACCCTTCGCGCTGCAAAAGCCACGTGGCTCAGAGGAGGAAGATAACAAACCAGTTCTCACAAAGCCGATTATTCCTTTCCATACTTTTCCAAAATCTAAGGCATCGATAGATCGCATACCCAAACCACCACAGGCACCTAGTCAGGTGCCAACACCCCTAGAGGTGCCTAGTCCACCAAAACCTGTGAAATTTAAACCAGAAATACCAGAAAAGCCAAAAATGAATAAAAAGCCGGGATTGCCTGGCATGGCCAGTACGAGTGGTAATTTACCACCTTGGGTGCGAGCCACTTCTGCTCATAACAGAAGTGTGATTGAAGAATTATTGAGCAGGCAAAAACTTGAAAAGAAACAGGCCGATTGATTTTAAGCTATAAGACAGAATTTATAAGACTTGTTATGTTATGTTAATATAAACTTAAGTATCTTATAGTTTTAGGTAAAACTACACGTAAGTCTCAAGTAAACACACAGATTTAAAGCGCATTTGCATATACGATGAATTCTTGTAATTCACAAACAGTTTGACGCTCACTATTATAAGACTTGATATTGTCGACTCGTTGTTACTCTTTTATTCCATTAACGTTTGTTATTTATAATTATAAGCCGTAGTAATTAATAGTATTTTTAATCTAGTTTAATCTAATTTTGTCGTTAATATCACGACCCACCAAATTTGTTACAGCCGACTTATATATATATATATATATATATATATATATATATATTGATGAGTTATTTAGAATTGGGCAGTAACACCAAGTAAAAAAACTAAAGTAGTTTTGAAAATACTTTATTTATTCATACATTTCGGTCTTCCTTGAGACCGTCATTCAGTGGAAAAAAAAATTAATTATACAAAAATACACTACACTATCACACTGTGATAAACCAAGCTATTAATAATTGGGACATTTAAACTAATTATTATTATTATTTTTTTTGACAATTTTTGGTTACATTCTAGTGTGTACAAATTGATGTATATATATATATATTGTTTGATGTATCGCCCTCAAGAACTCACTCATATATATATATAAATATATATATATATATATATATATATATATATATATATATGTATATATAAATATATATAAATATATCTTATCCAATTGGGCGATTGTTATGATAAAAACATAAGCACTTAATTTAAACTTATATATTATTTAATTTTTAATTTAATTTAATTGATGTATTTATTATTAGATAAACATTGTAAATAATTGAGCTAAATAAAATTATTTGACTCATGGTTTTATTGATTGAAATATACACAAAATTATTTATTTAACAGATATCTGGTGAGAATTGTGACGAATAGATTTTTTTGGTAAAAATCGGCCAAGCTGTTTTTTTGTAATTAATTGATAAAGGTATTTTTGATGATTTTAATTGAACTTTCGCTAAAAACAAGTAGTCAAACTTGCTTACTTTTACTTATTTCTTTCAATAAATTAATTTATTTTAAATGCTTCAATACTGCACCAAAGATCTAGACCTAATTTCAAAGAGCTCAGCTCCAGTAAATTTATTTAATAGACAACACAAAATTTTTACTCTCCTAATAACTTTTATTTTGTCAATAGTTCAATATTTTTTTATTTGGAATAAAAAATGATTGAATGACTATTGACTATCATTTGAAATGATCAATTATGATCTTTTTGTCAAAGTTTTCACAGAATCAATTAAGATTTTCATGAGCTTCTAGAAAAGCTTAAATTTATCTTAGATTTCTTAATTCTTATTCTTTAGATACATACTTGAAACTTTTTGCATATCTTCACGTTTTGAAGGTTTCTTAACATTTTGGCATACCTTAGAAAAAATAAATGTACGTGTGTGTGTGTGTGTATAGGTGTGTATATGTTTGGATACAATTTTTCGTCCACTATTTAGGGCGCACGAATTAACCGATTTGAATGATTCAAGAAACATTCGATTCCTATTGATGAGGAGACATGCTGATTAGTTTTTGGTGAAGATAGGTCCAGTCGTTTCAAAGATACGGGACAAAAAGTGCCAAAAATGGTAAGTCAGATTCTGAGAGAACGGAGTACTTGATTTGAATTATTTGAAAAACATTTGGCAGGTTTAGGCAGGTTTAGCGGTTTCAGAGATACAGAGAAAAATAATATATTTGGCGGTCAAAAATGATCATTAGACATATGCACATTCAATAATCAGATATTTTGTAGATACTTTAATAATAAGAACATTTCAAAATTTTCATTTTTTTTCAAAATTTTCAAAAATATACAAATTTTTATACTTTAAATATGAACTTTAAATTTACAATTCAGTTTGAAAATGTATATGTTTCAAATGGGTTATTCTAATCGTAAGAAATATATCCTCAGATGGATTTATTCGGCACCTCCCGCTAATGTAAACTTTCTCAAGTGTTTTGAACAATAAGGTCATCATTGTATATTTTATGAACGATAAAATATATAGTGATTATAATTATCTATTTGAAAATGTTTAAAATAATTGTTATTAATTATTGATCAATATTTATTGATTGCTGGATTTTTTTTCCTCGAATATTTAATTTTGGTACGGGAAGTTTCAGCAATTTGCTTTAAGGCAAGATGCCATGCACCACTAGTTTATTTATGTGTTTCCTTGATTATATAACCGCATAGCTCACCCCTCACGAACTCCATGTCATTTATACTCTTCTTTTATCTTGCTCCATGTTTAGCTAGTCAATGACATTAGTTTGCCTCCCGTACGAACTTCACATCAGTGGTCAGCAGACAGCACTTGTGACTCGATGGGCTGTTTCGTTTGTCAGTGTAGTGTCATATATTCATTTTACAGGCTAATTTGCTCTGCAAGATGTTTTTAAATAAAATAAGTTTATTTTTCACTTTACTTATAGTAGTTTATAAAGTTGACTGTGCTTATCCAGATCCAAATGTACCTGTATTCATTTGGGGAAGTAAGAAGTATGTATTTTAAAAAAAAAATTGCACCCCAAATATGGGTTTTGTTATGTTATATAAATGAAAAAGTGGTATTCATCGATTTTGTTCATAACTATCTTAAATATGTGGCAATTGTGGTATAATATTATGCTGTATATTTTGTTAGCATTAATAAGTCACATGAAAGTCACATGACAAACACAAGGTTCTCTCAATACCTGCATGTAAACATAAAATTTGTTAATCTAATTCTTTTCATAACATATATACCAATTTATATTGTTGTAAAGTAAAAATATATAAAATTAATTTCTAGTGCCTTTGCAAATCCTTCATCTCTTCCACCTCTGACACATGTACCAAAACAACAGTTCTCCAATGAGCTGGATAAGGTGCTCAAAAAAGATGTGTCCTTAGTCCTCTTCGTGGATGAAAAGGTTTGACCAAATCAATAAATATTCTATTAATTATTTACTATTGTTCTTATCTCTGTGTTATTGACAGTTATCTCCTGAAGATTTCCAATGTACATTGGATGATCAATCTTGTTTCAAGAACTTAATGTCGTATCAAAATACAAATGAATTTTTGTATTTTCCATCTGTTGAGAGCCCCGCAGAAATTGTGAAGTCAAGAGGAAATGTAGAAATTGTAACCTTAGATGACAAAGTTACAGAGAGCCGTCAGCAATTGCTGGCTGAACACGGCAAGTATACTTAAATAAATCTTTATATTTTCAATAGAATAATATATTATTGGATCTGTTGAAAATATATAAATTATTGCAAGATATGTTGAAGAGTTGCAACATTATTACATGCTTGTATTTAAAGATGTGTGTGTAATATCCTATATTATACATAATTGTTTCTTTCAGATAACCAAATGCAAGAAAAAATTACCTCCTTGCAAAATGCAAATAAGGACTTTGTTGTAGTTTACACTGCGAAGAATCCCTCTCTGGTAATTATTAAACAGTATTGTTGAATTTTTGCAAAATGATCAAACTATGTTATTTTCAGCATATCCAATCAAATCACCGAGTCACCAGACAAGCCAGTAATAGCACTGCAGACGACAAAGTTAATGTGCATCAACTTGATGGGGTTTTATTAGCTTTTTCCAAACTGACCGTATACACAAACGCTGAAAAGTAATTTTATGCATTTGCCTACTTTATAACTCTTTGCATATGAATAATATAATCCTATAATATTTTGTAATTATAATATTAAAGTTTTGTTTATGCTTGTGTCACAGAGATGGTAAGCCCATAATCCCAACAAGCGTCACTTCAAAGGATTACTCTGATGAAAATGTTAAACAATATGAAGTCAAAATTGAAGATGCAACATATATATTAAAATTGAATGTAACAATGAAGAGTGGTTACTGGAGTGTTACAAGCATTAACTTCAAGGATAGTTCTGAAACTCATGTAATGCGTTCATCAGTAGATATTGCAGGAGTTGGTGATTTTTCTTTCCATTGCGCTCCAATGATCCGTTTCACAGCTCTTGGCCAGTCTAGTGGTTCTTACATCATTGTTGGCTTATCTGCTTTACAGGTAATAATTATTCCATTATATGCTTATTTATTTTTCTGTTACTCATATAATTTCAAATTTTATTTTATTTATCAGATCCAACCCTTCCGTGAGAAGCCACAGGAGTATAAATTTGGTGACTCATTGGACTGTGTAGGATTTATGAGCGCACCTATTCTCGCTGGTTTATTTGTAACATTTATGCTGGCTGCCATCGTTGCTCTTGGAATTTGTATGATGATGGACTTAAAAACAATGGATCGTTTTGAAGATCCTAAAGGAAAAACAATTACTGTTACTGCCACAGAATAAATACTTTTTCCGGGTGCATGGATTTCCAGATGCATCTTTCTTGTTGTTAACCAACGATTTGAATTACAGTGTAATTCAAATTTCGTGCACATTTATATAAGTAGTTATTGTAAATATAAATTCTTGGATTGTCAGTATGTTGGTCTAGTTACTTCTGCCTAACACACATTGTAAATATTAAAATTTTTATTAGGAACTTGAAAATTTATTTTTAACAAGTACAATAAACCTAACTTGATGGCAGTATTAATTAAATAAGATACGTCTATATATTTTAAAGTGTAAAATATAAAGCCGTGATATAAATGTATGAGTTGTCTGTTGAATATTCCAAAATATATTGTATAATATGTATTAAATTATGAGTTCATGTATGTTACTATATATTTAAATGGAGCAAAGTAAAATAATGACAATAAGTTTCTTGAAGAATATCGATCATGTTACCATAAAATAAATTACATACCATCTTATAGAATGCTCCCATTGTAATATAAATCAAATGTATTCAGAACATATCATTTGTAAAATTAGAAATAAAACATGATGCATTGCAAAGAAATGCCTGTCACTAGATTATTATGAAGACACAAAGTAAAAATGTAGATATGTATAATAGCAACATGCCTTAGTAAATGTTATATTTTGTAGCAAATAAAACTGTTATTATATATCAAAAGGCTAGCCTTGTAATTATAGTTTTATTTATTTGAATACAAAGTTTTTGAATCGATTAACATTTGATTATGTATTTAAATTGTTGTTTTCAGCCAACATTTATGTTAATGGAACGAAGGTCATATTTTCGATAAAAAATTGTCAAATTTGCTTTTGGACGCTTCAGGCCTTTCTGAATCGTTTGATACCAAAATTGGAAGAAGTATGTGGGATAAAATTTGACTTTCGTCACTTGATACGTCGATTAGTTCTGTAACACGATCGGCCCAGTCGTTTCTTTATAATTAGCAGCTAAGTGCAATATTTTTCATACACGTTTTTAGCCAAAATCTTGAACCAATTTCGAAAATTACGAAACCGTTCGAAAGGTATCAGTAGGGACTCACAGATTTTAGTAAAAGACAACTGGACCGCTTCTTCATAATTAATTGTTGATTTTTTTTAACGATTTTGATGAATCTTTATATGATGATATATTTCATGGTCTTTACAAACCTCCCATAATATTATGAGCTTACGACAAGGGGTTTAATTATAAAAAATTATTAAAATTTGGACTAAGGGCGTGATAATTTCAAAAGTTTTTTCGCACAACTTGGCAAGTTGCTAAATGACAATTTTTATCAATAGGCCGATTATATACGAATATCGTAATTTTTGCCTTAAGGCAAAATGCCACTTACGCCTAGTTCAATTTTGTCTCTGAAGAAAAATCAGAAATTGCACAACCAGAATAATATATTATTCTCATAAGATTCTTATTCTTCTACATAGATTCTTATAAGAATCTAAACAGAAAATTCCAATAGGAATCGCGATATTTTTCTATGAAACACGATATTGGATAAGAAATGTAAAATAAATTTAATAGAACGTTTGTAAAAATAGATAGATAATGTTTTTATATAAATACCTTATTGTCCAGCAGCCCATAAATATTCGTCTTGCGTCTTTTTACACATGTCAAATTAAATTGTTTATTTTCACGTAAATCACTGTGTCCAATATTTTCAATATCGCACTAAAAAGGAATAATGTAAAAAACAATTCTACAACTTTTGAAGAAAATGAATTGACAATTGTTTTATAATTATTTTATAAACCGTAAATAACCGATTCGAGAAAATTTACAGGCAACCAATTGTCGAAGGATCGTTCGCGCCATGTTTTTACATTAACGTGCCAAATGTTACTACACTAACAAAAAGTTGCTTAAATTAAATATAAAATTAAATACTTTTACATAAAACATTGTGTTATATTAACACTAACGCACTCAAAAAAGTAATAGGAATAAAATAAATTTTCTACGACTTCGGAAGAAATAGATCGAGATTTGTTTTATAAATACCTCTTATAGTCCATAAATATTCCGATTCGAAAAATGGCAACCACTCACAGGCAACCAGCCGTTGAAAAACCCTATTTTAACTACTAATTACAATTTTTATACGTGTTTTTACACTCACAATATGTTTTTACATGCACAAAAGTTACATAATATAAACTGTTTGTTTACTTCCACACAAATCAATGTGTCAAAAATTATTACTACCGCACTCAAATGCAACTGACAACAAACTGAATTGGTTTGTTATTGTCCTTTAATTACACGTGAAGTACACTTCGTATTTGCAACTGCATGTGCGCCAACTGGCGGTTAATTTAAATTTATTTGAATGTTTGTTTGAATGTTATTTGAACCGTTTTCAAAATACAATTTTAAGAGAAACAATTAATGCTGATACGCAATCTTATCCAAATATAAACACAGTAAAGAAAGAAATTATATAATTAATATTATATATATATTAAGAATGCCTTTATACCATAGATTCCCAAACTTTTTGTGTCATACTTGTTTATCTATGCATACGACTACGTCCACGTGGACCCAGTAGGAATTGTCATTGACTCCTTATTGACCCGATGTTAATTTTTTTTATAAATTTCTAACTATACTAAAGTTTATCATTAAATATTTGAAGTATAAATCAGAGCTTCTTAAACTTTTGTTATTCCCGACCCAATTTATGATTGTAATTTTCTTGACGACCCCATTTATGATTGCTAGTTTCTTGGCGACCTCATTCAAATATAAAGAGAAGTTATTATTTTTAAATGATTAATTTATTAGGTAACAATATACATATATACATATGTCAATATATAGTTTGTAAAACATTCAAAAATCTAGATGTGATGTTATAAAATGATACATATATTATCATTAAAATTTCTCGCAACCCCATTATTTTCCAACGCAACCCCAAATGGGGTTGAGACCCATAGTTTAAGAAGCCATGGTATAAATACATGTTATTTGTGTACATTTATTAATTAAATTTAAAATAAATATAAAAAATAAAATAAGCGAAAAGTAAATATTTAGTTATCAACATTTGGCAACAATTTTCTTTTACATCTCCCAGCTAATAATGTCCTGTCTACATCTGTTTTTATGGGGATAATCACAATTTCACAACCATTAAATCGTTTTTTATCTTTAATGTCCAGAAATATTTTGACAGTGTCAAAAATCGCAAAAAATATTGCCAAGCCTTTCAATAGCCAACAATTTGGATCTTTATAAGCTCAACCATATTGCGACTCATATTGAATACATACAAATTTTTATAAAAAATTACAATATTTTCATTTACTTTTTAGTTCTTTAAAATTTATTCTTATATTTTTTCATTCTTTTTTTCCTTTCGTGAAAAAACTCAAACAAATGTATTTTGTATTTTAAGTAGAAGTAACACTGGCTACTTCTACTATTGTCATTTACTTGTTATATGTGATTTTACTAAAATTATCTTTAAATTTACTAGATATCGATTAAAGACAGGCGTAAATTATATGGTGAAATAAAAAAAACATTTTAGTTCTATTTATAAATATTGTACATGACTTTTTATTAGAGATATAGTGAATAGATATTAACGTGGCGTATTATGATCCACTACCGATCAATTTATTACTCTCACCATTCTTCGTAATTAATTTTTTTTTAAGATTTTGGTGAAATTTTGCATAATAATATTATGGCCTTTTTATTTATTTATTTGGTGTTAATGGTCTTAACTAACACGGTCAAATATTGTGGGCCTACGATGGGTTAAATACAAAAATTCGTCAAAGTTGAGAATAATGGGCTGTGACAAATTTCAAAGTTCCATCAATTTTTTTTTATAAGATTCTAAGTCTTTAGTTATGTTGATTTAGTTGATAATTTACACATATAGGGAAGATGATGCAACGTGTCTTAAGGCAAAATGATGCTGCACCTAAAGACAGTTGAAATATAAGTTTAATTTATTTATTGATCGATTGACCAATTTAAATTGCGTGAAAACCTATATTATTAATTCAATCAAATAAAATTTACTTTACCAACACCACTATAAATATAGATTATAAAAATTTCTATAATTTTATATAGCTTTATTATGGTAAGAACTATAACATGAGTGATTTAATATCAGACTAGTTTTTAAAATATATAGAAATAATTAAGAAAACATTAAAATATGTTACAATCAATTTAACCTATAATATATTTTGAAAATGACTAATAGAATTTCCATATGTTTGTGGTATATAAATATGTACATATACATTTTATTATCTATTTACAGAAAACATTTATGATATATATTTTTCTATTATTTACGTCAATACATCATTTTATATAATAATAATAATGCTTTATATATTTTTTAAAATTATGAAATAAGACTAATTATAATTTCATGATAGAAAATATTTAAAATATTAAAAAACAAGATAAAAGCAAACAATATTAATATAAATCGATATTGTTTCCAAGCAAATTTAAAAAATATTCATATATTATACAATACACACTAATATCATCTGAATATATATAAAATTTATATACAAAGTTGAAAAGTATCATATTAGTAAATGCTTTGGTATAAGTGATCTGTCAGAAGTTGAAATAGTTGAAAGTCGAAAATTTACCTGCAGCTATCAGGATTAAAACACGTACCTTTTTAGTAATATTTAAGAACAGAGTATTTTGGCCATGAGATAAACGCCTCTAAATATAACTATTTATGATATGGTTGTCCCAAATATATGTATATGAACATTTAAAATTGTATCTGCGATTCTCAATTATTAAAAATCGGTAACGTCGTTCGGAGATCGGTAACGACATTTGGGGAACTGCATTTAGGGCACCTCTTGTTCGAATCCTGAAATGAAATAAGAGTTTGAGTAATAAAAATAATAACATTTAATTATAATATGAATCAAACTATGGTATGTTGTTACTTACAGAGCACATTAGGCATTTTTGATCTTCAATTTCGGTGATCGTAGTAGAATCGCCTTCCAACTCTCTGATACGTGCTCTTAATTCTTCTAGAACCTAAAAATATATATAATTTAACTAAAAATATAAACAATTATAATTAATCTATTAGTTTTTATAAACTTATGATTAAAACAAAAATTGAACCTTTGTGCATGTAAAGATAGTCAAATTAGTCTTTTGTACCCCACCCTGCCATAACTACATTTTCATACCATTCATTCAATTAATCAATAATGTTTTTATTTATTTTCTAATATTATTATTTTTACATTGGTCTAATTTATCATCAAAATTAATAATTTTATTGTCTTATATTATTATATATTAAATAAATTTACCTGTGCTCTAGAACTGGGTTCGGCATCAGAAGTAGAAACTAAAGGGTCACAGGGCGTGGTTTCAGTGGCCGTAGCAGCGGGTTGGACATCCATACTTGAATTTACTGTTGGTTCTTGAGATTGTACACGATCCGTGCTAAATTTTGTAACAAAAATACATTTAGCATACTAGTTTATCATTCGTAAATTATAGATTAAGGGACTGATTCTGTCGCATAACAGAACAGTGTTATGGAAAGGCCATGTTATAAAGA